GCTGATGATTCTGGTGGTTATTGGTATACATACACGGCATGACTGATGATGATGATTGGTATACATACACGGCATGATTGGTATACATACACGGCATGGCTGCTGATGATGATTGTTATACATACACGGCATGACTGATGATGGTGATTGGTATATACACACGGCATGGCTGATGATGATTGGTATATATACACGGCATGGCTGATGATGATGATTGGTATATATACAAGGCATGGCTGATGCTGATGACTGTTATACATACACAGCATGGCTGATGATGGTGATTGTTATACATACACAGCATGGCTGATGATGGTGATGATTGTTATACATACAAGGCATGGCTGATTATGATGATGGTTAGTATACATACACGGCATGGTTGATTATGATGATGGTTAGTATACATACACGGCATGGTTGATGGTTGTTTTACATACACGGCATGGCTGATGATAACGATGGTTGGTATACATACACGGCATGGCTGATGATGATTGGTAGACATACACGGCATGGCTGATGATGATTGGTAGACATACACGGCATGGCTGATGATGAATTATATACATACACGGCATGGATGATGATGATGGTTATTGGTATACATACACAGCATGGCTGATGATGGTGATTGGTATACATACACAGCATGGCTGATGATGGTGATGGTTGGTATACATACACGCCACGGCTGATGATGATAATGAAGATTGGTATACATACACGGCATGGCTGATGATGATTGGTAGACATACACGGCATGGATGATGATGATTGGTATACATACACAGCATGGCTGATGATGGTGATGGTTGGTATACATACACGGCACGGCTGATGATGATAATGAAGATTGGTAGACATACACGGCATGGCTGATGATGATAATGAAGATTGGTATACATACACAGCATGGCTGATGATGGCGATGGTTGGTATACATACACGGCACGGCTGATGATAATGAAGATTGGTATACATACACGGCATGGCTGATGATGATAATGAAGATTGGTATACATACACGGCATGGCTGATGATGATGATTGGTATACATACACAGCATGGCTGATGATGGTGATGGTTGGTATACATACACGGCACGGCTGATGATGATAATGAAGATTGGTATACATACACGGCATGGCTGATGATGGTGATGGTTGGTATACATACACGGCATGGCTGATGATAATGAAGATTGGTATACATACACGGCATGGCTGATGATGGTTGGTTTACATACACGGCATGGCTGATGATGATAATGAAGATTGGTATACATACACGGCACGGCTGATGATGATAATGAAGATTGGTATACATACACGGCACGGCTGATGATGATAATGAAGATTGGTATACATACACGGCTGATGATGATAATGAAGATTGGTATACACACACGGCACGGCTGATGATGATAATGAAGATTGGTATACATACACGGCACGGCTGATGATGATAATGAAGATTGGTATACATACACGCCATGGCTGATGATGGTGATGGTTGTTTTACATACACGGCACGGCTGATGATGATGAAGATTGGTATACATACACGGCACGGCCGATGATGGTTGATATACATACACGGCACGGCTGATGATGATAATGAATATTGGTATACATACACGGCTGATGATGATAATGAAGATTGGTATACACACACGGCACGGCTGATGATGATAATGAAGATTGGTATACATACACGGCTGATGATGATAATGAAGATTGGTATACATACACGGCTTGTAGTAATGTGCCGTATAGTACCGATTCAACGTCTGCGCGTGCACGCGGGTGTCGTAACGAGTCCGTTTGCAGGGGATGGTGCCACGGAATTCGCCATTTCTATTTAATTGGCCCGCCACACATTTACGGATCCGCAATTTCACACTTATTTTCCGAGCCGGGGAAATAAAATAAAAAAATAAAGAGCAAATATAATCAGACTTTTGCCAGCCTCGGCAAGTGCGCGTGAATAATTGTCATTTGCAAAGTGGCCCAAAATGGATTCCCCGGTGTCCATCTGTGCGGCGCTTTGGCACTCTGAACCCGGGTTGGTGGCTCTTGATGGCACACACCTCGTCTCGTTCATGGGCAACGTGGAACACGCGCGCGCGTGTGTGCGTGCTACCCTCGGGTCGACTCAGCCTTAAATGAGTTTCTGGTTGCGGTGTGTGTCTCTCTCTTCGCGGCCTTAATAGGTGCTCGCTAACAGCACTCGTCCCAACGGTCTGTTTCCGGCTATACGGGGGGGCGGCGGTGGGGGGGGGCATCATCTTTGTGTTTGTGCGAGGGAGCAGTGATGCAGTGGTGAGCGCACCGCGCTACCAACACGGTCGACGCGAGATCGATTCTCGCTCGCAACCAACGACAGTGTGGCGTCGAATATTTCAACCGGTTGTGAGCCTCGCCTAGGTCAACTCGGCCTCAAATGAGTACCTGGTTCGGTGTGCAAGCATCGTCACTGGGGAGACAAAGGCGTCCGGGCGTCGTTGCTGGCCACCCGCGCCCTTCGTGTGCCGTGCCAACCTTCATAGGTGCTCGCTAACGGCACTTGCCCCAACAGTCTGTTAAGGGTGTTTATATGTCTTAGTGACCCTGCATGTTAATCTGCCTTGCTCTGCGTCTATGTTATCTGTGTCTGCCTCTATGTGTCTACGTGTGCGCGCGCGCGCGCGTGTCTGTCTCAATGTGCTTGTCAGACATAGACACACACACACAAAGAGACACACACAAAGAAGACACACGTGTGTGCCTTTGTGTGTGACTGCATGTTACCCATTGTGTCACGACACGCGGGATGAGACAGGGGTGAGGGGGGGTGATGGTGAAGGGGAGAGGGGTGAAGGGGGGAGGGGTGAAGGTGGGAGGGGTGAGGGGGGGGAGGGGTGAGGGGGGGTGAGGGGGGGGGATTCCCACGCGACCAGGGGGGAGGGAAGTGGGAGTGTCTGGGGTTGAAGTTCAAAGTGAATGTGGTGTGATCTGGCAGTATTATGGACGGACAGACCGCTCAGACAATCAGAGGGACAGACATGCGTACGGACACTCAATCGGAAGGGTATCAGACAAACCAGTAAGACAGACCAATCAGACAGACAAGTAGAGCCACAGAGAGGGTGTTAGAGTCAACAAGACTTCGAATCGTAATCCCAGATTCTTAAGGTGGCTGATGAATCTTGACATCCATCTATCCCTCCACCCACCCTCCAATCCCTCCCTCCCTCCACCCACCAATCCCTCCCTCCACCCACCCTTTCATCCCTCCACCCACCGCGCTCTCCCTCAGTCTGGAAGGGAGGAAGTGAGCGAACGCTAATATTAGGTGGAGGGGAGCCGACCCAATCGTCACACCCCACCCAGACTCACTGACACCACCCAGACTCACTGACACCACCCAGACTCACTGACACCACCCAGACTCACTGACACCACCCAGACTCACTCACACCACATAGACTCACTCACACCACTCAGACTCACTCAGACCACTCAGACTCACACCACCAAGACTCACACCACCCGAGCTCACTCACACCACCCAGACTCACTCACACCACCCAGACTCACTGACACCACCCAGACTCACTGACACCACCCAGACTCACTGACACCACCCAGACTCACTGACACCACCCAGACTCACTCACACCACTCAGACTCACACCACCCAGACTCACACCACCCGAGCTCACTCACACCACCCAGACTCACTCACACCACCCAGACTCACTCACACCCCACTCGAATCACTCACACCACCCTGACTATCTCACACCACCCAGACTCACACCACCCAGACTCACACCACCCAGACTCACACCACCCAGACTCACACCACCCAGACTCACTCACACCCCACTCGACTCACTCACACCACCCAGACTCACTCACACCACCCAGACTCACTCACACCACCCAGACTCACTCACACCACCCAGACTCACTCACACCACCCAGACTCACTCACACCACCCAGCCTCACTCACACCACCCAGACTCACTCACACCACCCAGACTCACTCACACCACCCAGACTCACTCACACCACCCAGACTCACTCACACCACCCAGACTCACACCACCCAGACTCACACCACCCAGACTCACACCACCCAGACTCACACCACCCAGACTCACACCACCCAGAGCTCACACCACCCAGACTCACTCACACCACCCAGACTCACTCACACCACCCAGAGCTCACACCACCCAGACTCACTCACACCACCCAGACTCACTCACACCACCCAGACTCACTCACACCACCCAGACTCACACCACCCAGACTCACTCACACCACCCAGACTCACTCACACCACCCAGACTCACTCACACCACCCAGACTCACTCACACCACCCAGACTCACTCACACCACCCAGACTCACTCACACCACCCAGACTCACTCACACCACCCAGACTCACTCACACCACCCAGACTCACACACACCACCCAGACTCACTCACACCACCCAGACTCACTCACACCACCCAGACTCACTCACACCACCCAGACTCACTCACACCACCCAGACTCACTCACACCACCCAGCCTCACTCACACCACCCAGACTCGCACCACTCCGACTCACTCACACCACCCAGACTCACACCACCCAGACTCACACCACCCAGAGCTCACACCACCCAGACTCACTCACACCACCCAGACTCACACCACCCAGACTCACTCACACCACCCAGACTCACTCACACCACCCAGACTCACACCACCCAGACTCACTCACACCACCCAGACTCACTCACACCAGACTCACTCACACCACCCAGACTCACACCACCGAGACTCACTCACACCACCGAGACTCACTCACACCACCCAGACTCACTCACACCACCCAGACTCACTCACACCACCCAGACTCACTCACACCACCCAGACTCACTCACACCACCCAGACTCACTCACACCACCCAGCCTCACTCACACCACCCAGACTCGCACCACTCCGACTCACACCACCCCTTCCCACACCACTCCGACTCACACCACTCTCTACTTCACGCTGAGTGAGACGCGTCTTACTTTAGGCAACGTATGGGCAACGTTAAAGGCGACTTCGGTAACAATCGTTTGGGCGAGTTGCCAGGCTGCCCTTACATAGTCCAGGCGGCCCGTTCAACCTCCAAGCGACTTGGTACAATTTTAATGCAACTAGCTGCGACTCGCTGACATTTCTGGAGCGACCGGGTACAACTCTGATGCGCAACAATTAATCGCAGCGCGTGGGCGCGATCGGTTGCAAGGTCTTCGGCGACTTGGTACAACTTACGGGCAACGGAGTCTAAGCGATTTCACGCGCAGTTGATGCAACTTTATTACGTCTAGGCGACTGGATGCAAAGAGGACATGCGGCGACCGGTCGCAGGGTACAGGCGATTTGTGACCGCAATTTGCGGGCGACAAAATTGCAGGCGGCAAAAATTGCAGGCGACAAGTTGCTCAAAGCCGACCGAGTTCCACCTGTGAACGTGACGAAATGTGTCAAATTGATTGCGAGTGGGAGATCTGTTGCATGTGGTTGCACGGGCGACGCGAAGCAACTCTACAGGACAGGTCAGTGCAGGTGCGTTCACATTGTGCGAGTGTATTGTTCATTACAAAGACAAAGATCCTTCCCCGTATAGCCTTAACAGACTTTTGGGTCAAGTGTCGTTACAGAGCACCTATTAAGGCCGGCACGATGCAAGCCCGGGTGGTGTGGTTAGCGCCACGCCCGACCGCCTTTGTATCTCCAGTGCCGATTTTTTTGTGTTTTCACACAGCATCAAATACGCACACACACACTTGCATACAATTTCATGCACAAATACGCATAAGAGAAAGATTACCCCCGTGTAGCCTGTACAGGCTGTTGGAGGGCAAGTGCCGATAGCAAACGGCTATGACGACGGCCCAATACAGCACACGACCTGGGGTGGATGTTGCTAGCACCATGCCCGGCCGCCTTTGTCTCCCCACTGCTGACATTTTTTTACACACGTGATCAGGTACTCATTTTAGGTCTGAGTCGACCTAGGGGATTCCCAGGTGTACACGCTCGCTACAGACATTTGTACACAACACTGCACATTTTAAATATAAAATATCGACTCGTACGCGTTTCGCAATAGCTATAATGTAATGCACATATCAAAGACAAAGATCCCCCGTATAGCCTTAACAGACTGTAGGGGCAAGTGCCGTTTAGCGAGCACCTATGAAGGCCGAAACGGTACACGAGGGGGTGGGTGGCCAGCACCACGCCCGACCGCCTTTGTCTCCCCAGTGGCGATGTTTATCCACCACACCAGGTACTCATTTGAGGTTGAGTCGACCTAGGGGAGGCCCAGGACCGGTTCAGATAATCGTCACTGTTGATGTTGGCCGTGAACGGGAATCGAACCCGGATCGCCAGGTTCGTAGCGCAGCGCGCTAACCGCTACACTACCGCTCCCCACATATCACACCCACACATAGACACACACACATAGACACACACACATAGACACACACACACATAGACACACACATACACACACACTTACCTTTGACATAGCTCCTGTTGTGTTTGGGTGGGGGGGGGTTATATTGGAGGTGGCGGTGGGGAGGGGGTTTAGGGGAGGGGCTGGAGGGAGAGAGAGAGAGAGGTAGGAGAGAGAGGGAGAGAGAGAGGTAGGAGAGAGAGGGAGAGAGAGAGAGCATCTCGTGCCTCGAGCGCCGTCTCTCATCCCCGATCTCATCACGGCACTAAGGCGCGTCCGCGGGACGTGCGGGAATTTGAGGGAGCGAAGCGGCGCCGAAGGGAGGGAGGGGGGTGATGGTGTGTGGGGGGGGGGTGCAGATTGGCGGAGGGATACACGTGGTGATGAGGAAAGGGAGGGGTGGAGGTGTTAGTGGTGACGTCATAGACCATCTCTCATTTAGGCTCCTCCCCTCAAACCACAGCCACCCCCCTCCCTCCCTAACCCCCCCCCCTCTTTCATTATGATGAGGGTATAGCAGCAAATGCTATTGTTGTACTGCGCTTCTATGCTCCCACGTCCTTCACTAAGCTGCACTGACCAGCGTGGTGAAGTATGGTTACTAACCAACCCCCCCCCCCTACACGCACACAATGGATACACAACAATCCAATACGTCTCGTAGACGCAGACGCAAATAAAACAACATTCAAGGTAACAAAGGAAAGATCGTACCAACAACGACAACAGCAGCAGTAGCAACAGCCGCCGTTCGTCACGAAGTGGCGATGACGTCACCACGGCGCTTGTGCCAGGCTAGGTGCGCTTTGAGACCACGTTAAGTTTCGGAGGCGCGCTGCTGGAGAGGAAGTCACGGGAACGACCCAGGTGCCAAAGACAAAGATCCCCCGCGTAGCCTGTAGGAGAGTCTTGGGGTAAGTACTGTTAGTGAGCAGCAACACGTGTGAAGGCCGGAACGACATACGGGGACGGGGGGGGGAGGTGTAGTGGCCAGCACAACGCCCGGCCGCCTTTGTCTCCCGAGTGGCGATGTTTACCGGTTCAGATGATACGCCGCCACGTGCTGGTGGCCGTGAGCGGGAATCGAAGTCGGGTCGCCGGGTTCGTCGCGCAGCGCAGCACGAACCGCTCCACCACGCGTTCACACACCCACCTCCCTCCACACTCACCGCCCTTCATCACCAAACACCGACCAAGCCTCTCATCACGCCTCTCACCACGTGCGCGGACTATGTCGTGCGTGGCGTGTCAGCCGCTTCACTCAGCGCTCGCGAACGATGTCGTGTCCGCGAAATTGCACGCGACGCACACAACACCGCATTATACACGCCGTGCCGTACTTGGGTATCTATAGACCACCATCTACATCATCATCATCATTGATAACTGTCAGAATAGGTGGCAACAATATCATCGAATCATACACAACTTGAAAATAATCAAGAACATCAAAAATCGAATCATCCCTATAATCAGCTTCATCACCAGTAGCATCATCATCAGTCGTCTTAGGATTGGATTACCAAAGACAAAGATCGCCTGTGTAGCCTAAACAGACTGTTGAGGCAAGTGCTGTTAGCGAGCAACAACCAATGGTGAAGGTATATTATTTGGGTCTTTCGGTAAAGTCACGTAGATAGGTTTAAATTACTAAAAATAAATATTTTAACATTATCTTAGTTTTGTTGTTTCCCTTTAACGTGACTTAACCGAAAGAACTAAGAATATGAATTACTGCAGTCACGAAAGCTTTAAATCAAAATATTTTAACATTTTTTTAACCTATCTACGTGAATTCCTGCAGTCACGAAAGCTTTAAGTCAAGATTTAACCTATGAAGGCCGGCAGACTACACGATGGGGTGGGTGGCCAGCACCACGCCCGGCCGCCTTTGTCTCCCCAGTGGCGATGATTGCACACATCGCAGCAGGTACTCATTTGAGGCCGAGTTGACCTAGGGGAGGCCCAGGGCCGATTCAGGTAATCGTCACCGGTGTTGGCCGTGAGCGGTGATCGAACTCGGGTCGCCAGGTTCGTGACGCAGCTCGTTAACCATTGAACTGGGACCACAATTTTTCGTGTGCTTAGCTTGGAGTCGTTTCAGCGCACCTCCGATGAGCACGGTTAGCTACGTACGGTGCGAAAGAAATTCAAGGGACGTACACACACCATCATCACAAACATTCTCAACGACAATATCAATGATATTATAATCAACATCACGATCAATGCAGTGATTCCTCATTTGTCTTTATTTTTATCGGTTTGGCCACGCGGTAGTAGATGAATGCCAGAATTCGTGTCGTTAACCCCTCCACCACCCGACAATTATATTTATTTCCAAAATGCGCGTCCCGGGGCACAAAGACTTTTCAAGTTTGTCGCCTGAGTGACGCTCGCACAGGAGGTCGGGCGAAACGTCGTACGAACGTTGATGCTGAGAAGTCTCAGGTGACCACCAGCGAGGAGGAGGTGGAGGACGAGTGGGAGGAGGAGGTGGAAGAGGAGGAGTTGGAGGAGGTGGAAGAGGAGGTGGAAGAGGAGTGGAAGGAGGTGGAAGAGGGGTGGAAGAGGTCGAGGAGGAGGTGGAAGAGGAGGAGGTGGAGGTGGAAGAGGGGGAGGTGGAAGAGAAGTGGAAGGATGTGGACGAGGGGGAGGTGGAGGTGGAGGAGGAGGTGGAGGAGGAGGGGCAGGAGGTGGTTGAGTGGCAGGATGAGGTGGACGAGGAGGTGGAAGAGGAGGAGTGGAAGGAGGTGGAAGAGGTCGAGGAGGAGGCGGATGAGGGTAGGTGGAGGAGGAGGGGCAGGAGGTGGAGGAGGGGCATGATGAGGTGGAAGAGGAGGATTGAGGACTTTCGGTTAAAATTGTATCAATACATTGGGGCGTATATACAATTAATCACATCTGTGTAAACGAGACCATCACGTCGGGTGGTGGAGGGGGTTAACGTTCTCCTAACCCCAAAAACACATGGATCACCATCATCACCACCACCATCGCCATAGAAGCCTCTTTACCCCCCGCGTGCGCGTCGTTTTAATCCGCAATTTCAATTACACCCGGTGAGGGCCCATGCAGACATTGAAGACATATCAGTAATCATCAGCAGCATCATCAGTCATCATCATCAGCATGATCAGTCATCATCATCAGCATCATCGCCAGTAAGCATCATCATCAGTCACAATAATCAGCATCATCATCATCAGTCAGCATCATCATCAGCAGCATCAGCATTGGACACGATCTATCCACTGCTAAATGACCTCCCGCCCCCACCCCTCCACTCAATCCATCGCTACCTCGCTCAGTCCCGCGATCCCACAATCCTGCAAAGAGTCACACGAGCTGATGTCATCGCTCCATCTCCTGCGGCGGCCGGTCTCTGTAACGTTGATCTTTCCCTTCCTTCGGCTGCCACTCCTTGATTAGTCTCGAGCCGCTGTATCATCACCCCTTCCGACATTCACTTGGGGGGGGGGGGGAAATGCTCGACCAATGAACGGTTACGCGAGTCGATCATCATCACCACCACCACCACCATCGTCGTCAGGTCTCTTCACTGCTGGATGAAGGCCGACCCCACCCATCCGACTCCCACAGCCGCCTTCACCTCTCGCACATACCACAAACCCGCATCCAGCTCTTAAGGAGTCAACGCGATTCAATCTCCCCCCCCCTTCTCGCTGAGCCTACGGATGTGTAGCACGTGCGCTAAGCGTCTTTCGCACCGTGCACAGTTAAACCGCGCTAATCGGAGGAGAACAAGAAAAAATACGATGATTTTAAAAGTGCCACAGCTCCCAGTGGCTTCCTGATGTCGACAGGAAGAGCGTTCCAGACGGCCGCAGAAGCGCGTGTGAAAGCGCCGCGCGATGGGGTGACCACCGCCTTTGTTCGATAGCTATCGAACTATATATAGTGGTTAGCTATATATAGTTCGATAGCTATCGTTAGCCAAAAGCCGCTGCTGTTGCTGCGGGGATGACCGGAGTTCACGTGATGGTTTGTGCTTTTTGACGAGATCGGCGAGGTATTGTGGTTCATTTTTGGCAAGCGCTGTGTGGTTCTCGATCGATCGATCGATCAATCAAAGTGTATT